TGCCAACCGATTTTACAAAATCGGATAATATAAAAGTTATATATCGTTACCACTTTTTTAGGGAACACTCGCGTATAACAAAAATTTATCATCTTTAAGAATATTTGATTTTCTAATTGCAATATCAGATTCAATTATATCTACGAAAAATTCCGTCGCAACTTTGTTTCATAATCTTAAGGAAATTCGATTAAAATTTTTAATGGATTCGATTATTCTCATTTTATGTTAGTAAAAATCCAAGTAAATAGCAAAATATATCTCATTAAAAAAATTCATTATTATCTTATCATAAAATTAGTCTAACCGAATGGAAACATCACAAATCTTGAACACTCATTTTAATTAGAACAATATATCACAATTAACACAAATAATTTACCATATCTATATAAGTAGTCAATTACACAAATCATTTACCACATCTGTTTAACATTTTTTTTTTCAATCCCTAATATATAGACTAATTTCATTTTTTTCACTATATCAATATGCAGCTCGCGTGGGTTTTTTTTTATTTTTATTTATTTATTTTTTTTTAAGTCGATTTCCTGAACATAAGTCATACTTGAAATTAAGGGTTGTTCATATATTTGAAAGAAAATTCGAAACCAAGTATAAAAATGTGTTGAAAATAATTTTCCATTATGAAGAGGTAAAAATTATTTTTTTGTTATTTTTTATTTAGTATGATCGAATCCATATGCTAAAATTAATTGAATTATCAGTCTGGTCATGATGTCTCGCCAACAAATCAAACAAAAACGTTGTGTACAGAGAAGTGTTCAATAATAATTTATGAAATATTTTTTATTTTTCGGAGTTTACGTTTGTTACATATATACCAAGTCCACTAAATCTAATATTCAATATTAAAAAAGATTCAGAAAAATATATCATCTCGTGCATAGCACGGGTCACGATTAGGGTATTATGAAAATAACAATGCCTAATGGACATTTGACATGGTACCCGAGCCTAATTGTATATCAATCCAAAGTATAAAAGTATGACAAATAGGATCCGAAGCATGCGAGTTTGCCACTTAGATTCATTCGAGAATTATATATAGGTGGATTAAAAGGGAACAAAATTTTTTAATTTTTTTTGAAGCTCGACTTTTAACAATTAAATGCATGATTTCAATTTTTGCAAACAATTTTTGCAACTTGAGTCGGGAACTTATGTTTCGGTCATCCTTGAATGATGGGTATGGTAATAGTTTCTTATATGACTTTCACTTTAAATAAAAAATAATTTCAAACTCTTACATTAAATATAGAAAACATAAATCTAAAGAATACATTTTTAGCTGCCGAATTCGGATCGAAAGATACTCATCTTGGAGTCTCAGCAGGCTAATGCATTCCATAAAAAAAGAGATTCTTTTTTTACAAGAGGTGGCTACAGCAGGCTGATGTGGATCTAACTGTGAAGGAAGCTTGGGACCAACATCAGGAGGGTACACCTATGTTCATTATGAAACAAATGATCAAAAAAACAAGGGTTGCTCTTTTGATCTGGAGTAAAGCTTTAAACTCCACCAACTCTCATAATATTGCTAGACTTTCTTTAAATGTTAAGAAATGAGTCAAG